GCTTTCTTAGTAGGAGTGGGAAATATTTGGGTATTAAGGCCAAGTACAAAGTAGTCAAAATATGGTGGTAGTTAGCCCTTCGCTTGAGTGTCTGAGCCTGTTTCACTTGGCAAACTAAAGTTTTGCTGTTGTATTTATAATTTATTTTTCTTTGTGACATTAATGGATATAATTTTTTTTACCTTTTGTTTAGTTTCATCTCTTCTGAATAAATGAAGAAAGTGACTATGAAAGCACAGCATCTGCCTTCTGTTTCCATCAATGAGGAGAAGTTCATAACCAGGTAAATGATTAAAACCCCACATCTAATGACAAATAATTCAAGTTAGTACACGCTTACTCATTAACAGGGGATGCTGTAGAGAGCAGAGCCTGTGGCAGCAGCAATTCCTACAGCTTGCTTTCTGTGAAGTGTCTGCAGAGCAAAGTTGCCCTTCACATGGATTTCAAAGATCAGAGCATCGCACCTTTTGGTCTGTGGATTTTGTTCATGAGGTAGAACAGCACTTTTAGAGGATACTGAAATAAAATTTCACATTAGGGAAGAAGACCCTCCTGTCTTTGAAATCTATTGGAATTGAATGCGAATTCCAGTATTTAACTTGTCTCATACAAGCTGAGCTTGTGAGTTTTGTGCTCTAGCCGCAGATGGCGGGGTTTCTTTGCAGAAAGACCTCTCAAGCTGCTGGCTCTATTCTGTGACGAGTGAAAGTGGTTCTTCAACCTACTTGTAAAAGGCTTGGAATGGCACTCCAACTGGGTTTTGTGGGATGCTTTTCCACAGTTAAATCTGGCTGTTGGGATTTCTTTGTAATGGTGCCATAAACCCTGAGCCTCCTGGCTTATAGGTTCATCACTTTTTTAGGGGATTAATTTTTCCCTTGTTCACCAGAGCACAGGAGCTGGGAGCGAGGGCTCTGTTCTCACTTCACTTCCATCCCTCGTGACGTTCCTGTGGGAACACTGAGGAAGCGAACTGTAAATGCACCAGGGATGGGGCCTAGGATAGAATTTCTTACCCTGCGATAGGTATTTGCAGCTGAACCCCGATGCTCTCATTTGTGGCCTCAGCAGTGCTGTTGATTTCTCTCTTTTTAAGGAAGGGTGTTGGAGCTTTGCCCAGCAGACAGGCAATAAGTGCATCCCTCCCCTTCTCTTCAGCAGTTGTTCCCTTTTTGCTGCTGCTACTTTGGGACTTCACTGCTTTTGTGTCAGAGGTAATTAATCTGTGTGAACTTTCATACGCTTGGCATACAAAAGCATTTGGAAATGTTCCAGATGAACCAGTGTCTTTGGGGTTTTTTCCCCCTATTTGCCAGTTCAAGTGGTGAAGTGGGGGTCCCGGTCAAGACCCTGCTGCATTGCAGTCATGGTTTAAGGTACTGTTCAAGTTTCTTTGCCTTGAGAGAAAACTAACAAGTGTTTAAAGAATCACTAGCGTATTCCATATGCACTCAAACTTGCTTCCAGTGTGATTCCCAGACTATCGTCCCTCAGCTATACCGTGAGTCTGCCGTTTCGTAACTCCTCTTCCAGTTGTATCCTGCAGATCTTGCTGACACGGTAAGCCTGCTGGCTGGGAGTTGCACAATGGCTGGATCGAAAGGCTGACCAAAGCATGTGCAGTGGTTTGGCTGGCTGAACTGCTGTGTCTTTAAGCATAACTGCCATAAACACCCATGGATAAATGCGCAGGGCTCGGGAGAAGAGTACGCAGGTGAATTGTCCTGGGTTAGTGTCTGGAGCGAACACAGTCTGGGCTCTGTTGTGGTTTACCACTGGGCCACTTGACCTTGCTGCTCCCTTGTGTCCTGTCTCCATGACTGAAGAAAGGGGTGAATCTCCAGTGAATGGCACGTTTTGGGCTTTGTCACTAAGCTGCTCTACCTTTTCCTTGGCTTTGGCTTCCATTAATGGCTGCGTTTGGCTGTTGCCAGGAAGCTGTGTTCTGAGGAACAGGTTTGCAGCACACCAGAGCCACCGATTTTCTGTCAGCGTAACTGCCAGGAGATGGCCATCTGCCTCTTGGCTAGGGCTGGCCCTGGGCCTCGGTGGTGGAGGTGTGTTGGGCCCAGACTCGCTCTGGAGCTAGTACACTGGTGCGCGTGGTACGCCTTTCTGGGGCTGAACAAAACAAAGATTTTTCTCTTCTAATGTCTCTCCACTGCACAAGGGCAAACAAGTCAGTGTGAGCTGCTGGTAAATCTCTCCCTCAGGGGTTTTTGTGGTTCCTCACCGCTGGCTGCACTGCGGCAAGCCTGAACCCTGAAAGATGTATTTGTGCAAACTTCTGTGCGACTTAATGGGAAGTTTCTCTAGACATGGGAAGAAACTGAGTAAAAATCTTCACAACATGCTCTGAGGAACAGAATCTCCCTCAGAGGTAACACATCGCTTGATGCTTTTAGCCTATTATTTGCCTTTGCAACCAAAAGGCACTAAGAGTAACAGCTGGAATTAAATGTAGAGAATGCAGTTTTGGAGCCCAGCACTCTGTTGATAAAGCCACTTCAAAATACATTTTTGGGAGCTGCAGTAAGTTAATGAAGTAAATAATTAACATCCAGAGTATTGGAAGGGAATGCAGTTCACCTCGTTGAGGTTAGTGGTGCAGCCCTTCTCCTAACGTTGTGTGCTGAATAACAGCCCGGCTTACCTCTCCCTTCTCCCCAGGGGAAAGGCTCCCCAAGCAACAGGGCACGGCCGGGTCTGGTTTATGGAGTGGAGCAAGGGACGGGCAGTGTGCCGAGGAGAGCTTTTCACTTCTGTGTGCCCCCGGCCCCGAACCCGTGCGTACACACAGTGACTGGCTGCCCTGCTCCCTGCAGTTCCCCCTCCAGCGGGTCAGCTGCCGAGCCTGGGGAAGGCTGTTTCTGCTGAGGTGGTGCTCTCGGCAGCAGCATGCATCAGTCCCACCTCGCGCTCTGCAGTGCCCGACCTCTGCCCGCCTCGCCCCAAGGCAGGCGCAGGTGCTGCAGGGCTGCATCCCGCCTGGAGACACACCATGGGGTGGTTCTGCTTCGTGCTGATGAGATCCGGTGGTGTCAGGTGCTTTGGGCATGTGGACACGGTCAGAGGAGCCTGGGAAACACAGCCCTGGGGGTAGCTCCTGCTGTGAGCCCTCAGAGAGACTGTGGGCAGCGGAGGCTGAAGGTGGAAGAAGAGCGCGTGTGCCATACGCTGCAGAAGGAGGTGCCGGCTGCTGGAGTAAGACTGACAGAAATTGTGAGATCCCTGAGCAACGCTGCCTTCTGTGTTTTAAGTTTACACAGTCAACTGTGCAGCCATTTAAACAGACATCTTGGGTAAACTGAGGCATGGTCTGATCAGAGAGAGATGCTGTGAAATAATGTTCATTTTGCCTCTGAAAATATCCTTCTGAACTTCTTTGCACTGACTGACAAACGGATCCTGTTCCTAGGGGAGAGACCGCTCTTAGGTTTGTCACCTCTGTTGAGGGTGCCACTGTCACCGTTGATAATGTCCTGGTCTTCTGGGACATGGGTGTGTTGTGACTGTTAAAGCAAGATGAGTGTTACGAACTCTGCTGAAACTATTCAAGCCAGTGTTTCCTGTTCCCCGAGGCTGGGTTGTGAAGTCCCTCTCTAGCTGTGTCCCTCGCAGGAGGAGGGGTGCAGTATTTTCTGTGTACTCTTGGTCTGTGTATTCTGCACCTCCACTGCCACTGTGATGCTCTTGGTGAACTCTGACTGTTGAAATATTTAAAAGGTAACTTCTGCTGACCGTTATTCCTGTGCGTGACTGGTTTTTCAGTGACAGTGCTGGCAGTCAGCTTCTGGTTTTGGAGTGTTCTGTTGTGCGGTTTGATTATTTTGACAAAAACATGGGAGTAATGGACACTATTTGGAAACAAACTCTGTGTCTTCACTCACCACTGCAGGACAGCCTGTCAAACCATTCTGATGGTTACTCATCTCCTTTGGTGCTTCAAGGCTGTCTGAGGAAGAGCACATACCTTTCCATGCCGTTGTTTCCCATGCTTAATTGTCTCTGCTGCTGGAAATTGCTTTTGTGAATTACAATCTAAGTAGTCTGTTTAATCGGTGTGGGTAAGAGCATTTCATTCCTGATGGTGCTGAAATACACTCTTTGTGCAGTCCTCCTTAACCTGAGCTGCAACTCACTTTTTGTCATCACGCTCCACACCGGTTGTCACTGCCGTGGCTCTTCTCCAGAAGCAGCACTGAGCAGAGAGCTCCAACCAGAGCCGGCCCTGAGCTGTACCTCGGGCAGGTTTGCTCTGGCAAGGGATTCCACCTGTGTGAGGTGGCTGCTGGTGGTGCAGCAGTGCGGCACTGCTGATCAGAATTGGCACTGGCTCGGCAGTAGCGGGAAGGTGATTCTCCACAGCGCCGGTGCCGCAGTGGTCACCCACAGCCTGTGTTTCATATTGAGTTTTAAACATCGTTAGCACCGGTGTGCCTCGCATTGCCTTCCTGCCTCTGCACAGTGTTTTCACGGCAGAACAGTTTGCCGCTTTTTTTAATTGCATCGCGAATTTCTGTTTGAAATCCAGGATGATGAGCGGGTTTATAATCCTTGCCCGTTGGCAGAGGTTCTCTTCATCTCCATCCTTTCTCCTCTGAGCAAAGACCTAGTACAAATCTGTTAGGTTTCAGGCAGAAGGAAACTGAAGTGTTTTGTCTAGGCTTACCGGAGATATTTTGAAAGAAGAAGAATACTTGAAAAAACATAAAAACTCAATGGAAACCTTCATGGGGGAAAACAGATTGTAACCTCACTGGCAACATTTGTGCATGGGAGCGGTTTGCTTCCCCCTCGCAGCTGTAACATAAGTGCAAAGTACAAGGTACTCTGGGGCAGTGTTATTAGCATCACATCAGACAGGGACCAATTAATATCCTCTGTGGATCAGGTCTTTGAAGAACCAACTTAGAAAGACTGTGGTATCCTGACAAAATTTTACTCCTGGGAGACAATGTGTTATCATTAACAAACCTGTACAGAGATTCAGTGGGTAACACTGATCCTGCCACTTAGCACCTGGGTTTTACAGGGATGGAGATGTTCAAAAATCATTATTTTCTTTGTGGTCTTTTGTTCCAGAGAGCAGCTCAGTTCTCTTCTGAAGACTTACAACTCTTACTATTCTGATCAGGAAAATCTGCAACTGTCTCATGATCAGGTAAGGGTCTGTCTGAAAACAAAGAGCACAGTGGAACAGGGTTTGATTTGTGACTGCATGGGACGATAGACGTGTCTGTTGGAAAACCTCTTGGTCAGAGTCAGCCCAATGCTGACAGGAGGTCAGGTCAGCTGTGGCTTCAGCCATTTTAGAAATGCCTCATGGATGGAGACTGCACAGCCTCTCTGGGTGACCTGTTCCAGGCCTGTGTCGTCTTCAGTGATTTCAACATATTCCAGTTAATTGGGGCAGAAATCGATTATTATTACTCTATTATTATTTGATTATTGTGCAGCACTCCTCCTTTTTTCTTTTTTCCAGCGAGAAGGAAGCAAACCATTTATTGAAGGAATCTTGTCAATATTTTGGGGAGTCCGACATCCTATCCGATTAAAAATTCAAGATGAGAAGCAGATACCCTCCTTTGTAACCCTCAAGTCAACTGAGAACATGGGTTTGTTCCCTGGTAAAAGGTAACGTATGAACTCCAGTAAGAAGGAGGCAGGCTGGTATTTCAGGACGGCTCATGCAGGTTGCTTCACTGGATGTGGCTGGTTGCGTGTCCCACGTGCCCCAAGGCTGTGGTGGTTGCTTGCACAGCAGGGCTCTGCCCAGTGTAGCTGCTCTGATCTCTCAACAGCTTCTGCTGGAGAGATGCATCTTTGCATCTTTTTTGGATGCAATTTTGTCTGGCTTTCAGCTTAAGAAGGTTGAGAAGGTGGAGAAGGCTGCTCTTGTCTGTACTGACTGCTCCCATGCAAGTATTGGGAAATCTATGTATAGGGAAACTTACCAAAACCCCCCATGTGGATATGTACACCTAGTGGCATATGTACCCCTGAGAGAGCTCGTGTCGCTGCACGTTCCACAGCAGGAAGCAGACAGGTGGCAGGTTGGTGCTAAGTGATTGTCTGTCCCAGGTTACCTCCCAAGGCACTTCAGGTGTGACCCCATTGCTTCTCAGGGCAAAGATAAAGCCAGAGAGCGAATACTGGCTTTGTGCAACCTCTGGTGTTAAAACACCTCCGAAACACCCACAGGTCAGCTGCTCCTTCGGGCTCTGCCTATGACATGCCCTACGTGAGTGCACTGTGCTGCTCTGAGCCCTGCTGGGTTTGCCATGGCTTAAACGATTGGGGTGGGTGCTCAGAGTAGCTCCTCTGTGTGCTTTGAACACTATTTCCTGAGCCTTGGCTGGTGAGTTTGGAATGGCATCCCACCAGCTGAAGCTGAGTAATGTGTGATAAGGAGGGGTCAATATTCACCCTGAATGATTCCTGGATCAATTCTGTAGTTAAGAACTCATTTTCTTAATTATCCATTGTCTTTGATTGCACGTGGTACATGTTTGAGTTGTGGATTTCGTTCTAGCATCCAGTGTAGCTGTGTAGCTCCAGTGAAGTCCCTGTCTCTTGGTGAAATTAAGGGATGTCACCTGGCCAGGAGGAACCAGCAGAGAACTCGAGCCTGAGACAAATCAGGATCTCTGTGTACCTGGACCGGGTCTGCTGGTGCGGGACCAATACTGTCCAGTCTGGCAGTTCAAGTTTAGCTTTGCCTTTTATTTTTTTTTTTTAAACATATGATCGGTGTAGATTTGAATCTTAAAAGTAAAAATTCATGATCACAGAAATGGGAAGCTGCCCTGACATGCTTTACGGTATGCAGAGCAGCTTGGCTGTTTGATCTTTAATAACTTTTTAAACATGTGGAACAAAACTCAGATAGTTGTTTGGCATGTTCATTGGAGTTGGTTGAATGTTGTTTTGTATATATATGTAGGAAATGAATTTTTAATATTTTCCTACAAATTGGTTTATTCTCAGTCAGAGCAGTAACAGGCCAAAGACTTACCGCTAGAGAGTTTACGCAGTGAACTATGAAATATTAGCATAAAGAAATTTGGGGGTTCAAACAGGCTGGACTGAGTTTGCTGCTCTCGTATAGAACTGGTTTGGACACCGTGAGGGGCTGGGATGGTAATTTAATCCTTGAGACAGACGCAATGTGTCCTGTGACTATTTAAACTGTAATACGTGGGGTTTTTCTGTGTGTCTGCCTGGTATCCTGCCTGGGACTGATGCCAGGTGTTGCTATAAAATAGATAAAGAGTTACCACAAGTAATTTCAGGGACATCATGGTCAGTGTTCAACAGGTTCCAGATAGGACTGTGTTACATCCGGGATCCCTAGTCACATCACACTTGACTAACTAGTTTCATTATGACATGAGATAAAATTACTGGCTCCATGTACCACACTGGAGTCTGTAGGCATGTTCTATGAAGTTTTGAACAGGGATGGGAATGTCCTACATGAAGTCTGGCTACAGAATAAATTAAATTAACTAAGTTAATGAGGAGTAATCAACGTAACTATGTTTGGTGTTTCAGGGGAATGACTCGCTGGGGAGAATTTGATGATCTGCATCACATTAGCAGGGAGACATTGAAATCTACCGAAGAAAAGCCGAACCCTGAGAAAAGTTAGTGTCGGTGCTTCTACATTCAGTAAAAATTCTTTATTCTGTGACTGTGCACATATTAACTTGACATGTTTGGCCTTCCCTGGCAATAAAGGGAAATCTTCCTCTGTTAAATGTCTCTTAGGTGCTAGTGAAACCCTTAGGTATGCCTGCTCAGTGAAAACATGGCCGAGCAGATAACTCTTCCAACAGCCAGTGCTAATGGGCTGTGCCTTCACCAAATCAGCCATCCCCAAGAAGAGAACAAAAGAGCAAACTGTGGCTGTTGCAGACAGCCTGCTGCTTTTTGGCGTACGTTCCTCTCCCACTCAGCCCAGCCACCTAAAAAATAATGAAAAAAAAATCCCTCCACCAAGAACCTTCTTGCTGTGGTGGTGCTGGCAAGGAGAGCAGAGCAGCTGTGCAATATGCTGATGCGGTTTCATTTTGTCCAGGTTACGTGTGTTACGAAAGCTGCACTCTGAAGTCCAAGAGCGAGCAGGAACATGATTGCGCTACCCTGCCCCGGGCTGTCGGCAATGCTGCCGCTGCGCAGAAGAGGACCAAGCTCCCCATGATCGCGAGGACAGAAGTAGAAACTCACAGGTTCTCGATTAATGGCCATTTCTACAACTACGAGGTATGAATGTTGGTGCTTGTCTTTCACCACCTGAGGCTGGGCAGTGGGACATACAGAAGTGTCCAGCCAGCTTCTGGACCCCTGAGTACAGGAATCCTCACGTTCATGCTCTTTTGCTGCTGTTTTGTGTTCCTAGACATCAGTTTTCACTCCAGCTTTTGGATCAGAAACCAAAATAAGAATAAACAGCCAGATGAGAACAAGACAAGTAATAGAACAGTTGCTTCGAAAGTTCAAGGTAACTCTGCGTGGTTACAGAAGTGCAGCCGTGTTGTATAAATGCCAGAGTGTGTCACACCAGCACTGTGTTGAGGGAAGGAAATAACTGGGAGGGGATAGTGCATGGAACAGAGCATGGAAAAAACCACATGGGATGGTTGTAAGGAACAGGTTGGGTTTATTCTACAACTGTTTCATGGTTGTTTGAGTCTAAAAAGGCATATCAGGTGTGTAATTCACAGTGAACGAGGAACTACAGAATCCCTTCCATATAAACTGACACACAGGAGGAGAGTGCGCTGCTGCACCTTCACCGTTCCCCCTCGGAGGAAGGATGTTTGGATGCATGTGGCCGTGCTTCCCTCTAGTGACAGCCCTCATAACTGTGTTTTGCTTGAGACACGAGGGAATTCTCTTTAACCCGAGTGACTGGGATATGCATTCTGTTAGATCCAGGCACACAGAAAGCTCCAGAAAATCAGAATTAAAAATAGTGCTCAAGAACAGTGCCATACTGTCTGAAATTACTTTTTTTTCCCCCGGAGTTTGTTTCATATTGCCTTTCATTAACATGATTATACCTGGTCAGAAGTATATTTACCCTTAGTGCTGTGTGTTTTTCCAGTGCTTTATTCTAGGTAGCTGCTCAGTGTAGGATTTTTAGTAATTCTCCATTTAGCTTGTCTAGAGACTCTGCCCCTGCAGAATGACTTCATGTGGTAGGTAAGACTTGGTAGTGAAGCACTAAAAGGAGAACTCTTCTTCTATGAATAATAACATAATGGATGGAATTCCTGAGCAGGTTGTAAAGTTGTGGAGAATAAGTTGACAAATAACTGTTCAAAAGGACTGCTGTTTCCTGAATGTGGCTGTGCAGGCAAACGGATAGGAAGGGATCACAAGGTTTCACCCTACCGCTAGTACTCTTGTTAAATCTGATGGTCACCTGGGAAGAAAGTTGTCTGAAGTAGGTAAGGACGTTCCAGGGAAACACGACTGGAAAGCTGTGGTGTTGTCTAAGGCAGCGTGTTACTGATCTACCAATACAGTAATGTGAGCAATGGGGAGGAGGGGGACAGAGCATGCAGAGCTTTGTGTCTCGCCCAAATCCAGTGTCTGTTAACTTTTCCCCAGACAGTATCCCAGTCTCAGGCTTTGATTTAAATATCTGAGTGGAAAAGCACAGAGAATATCTGATGACAGTGAAAAGCTAGGGGAGTGTATCCGTCAGCCTGAACAGACTTCTTTGTTTTGTGTTTAACAGATAGAGAACAGTCCACATGAATTTGCACTTTATATTATCCATGCGTCCGGAGGTAAGCCAGACATCGCTGCTTGATTGCTCCGTCTCCAGTCATCCTCCGTGTGTGTGTGACTGCTTAACTTGGAGTGACGGCGTTCATCACGGGTGTCTGTCCTTGTTCAGTGCCCGCACAGGGTGGCATTTGGGCTTTTCTGGAGACCCCTTAGAGATGTGGTGGTGAGGAAAACCTGAGTAACTGTGTTCTGGGTGCTTCCAGAGTGCTGCGAGTGTGGCTGGCTCAGCTCAGCAGGCCTGAGTTTCTCCTGTATTTGAAGCTGTTTGAGATGCTCTAACTGCTGTTCTGCACAGCCACGCTGTGGCCATGGGCTCCAGCTGGTACCATTACGGGATACCTTAATTGACAGTTTGGATTGTAGTCTTGGTTCACAGACACCTAGTTAAAAGTACTCAGTTTTTAGTGGAAAATGTTTACGTACACAACATAGCCTATTCTATCGCTTCAGGAAAAAGGCAACTTTATTAAAAGCAATACTGGAAAGAATGGGAGAGAGAACTCTGATAGGCACGTACCTTACATGTCAAAATATGCAGTTGGAGTGATGTTTGAAGATGATGAAGCAGATGTTCTAGGGAGCTAGGGTCCAGCTGGCGGCCTGGGATCAGCCTGTTACTGATCTCTGTCACAATGCACGGCATAAGTTAGGTGCCACATCCTCCTGCAAATGTGTGTTAGAGACTTGTTACTGACCCAATAATGGCACGTCAGTCAAACAGAGGATCTTTGTCCATAAAAAAGACTGCTGGTTGCACGAGGCACTGTTAGAGGTTCTGTGCATCACGACATTTCTTCTAAAACCCAGAAAAGAAGCAGCTGAGGAGCGGAGATGTTCCCTTACTGCACAGGCTCTTGCAGGGGCCCTCGGAGAAGATAGCCAAGTTTTTCCTCATGGACAGGGACGTGGAAGAGATCAGCAGTGATGTACGTGTATCATCAATTCTAATATTTCACTGTATTTTTCCCAATTAGAATACTTGCTAATGTGCATTTCCTGCCTCCTCGGTAGGTTGCTCAGTATATTCAGTTTCATCTTCCCTTTTTGGAATCAATTCTGCACAGAATAAATGAAGAAGAAGAACAGGAGATTCAACAGACAATTGCAAGGTAAATACAAGTAAAAGTTGTGGTGGCACTTTCAGTCTGGGAGAATATTTACGGTTCTGGGTTGGCTCAGGAGGTGAATGCATCTATGTAGCAGAGTGCGGTTAGAACGCAGTGCTGGGACTTGGTGAGTGAAACTGGGTGGGATTTGTAATCATTTATTTGAATCAAAGTGTCAGGGAAATGTAAAGAAAAAAAATAAATAGCCATTGCCATTTTCTATCAGAAAAGCTTTCATTACAGTATTTTTCAGCCATACAACTAGCACATTACAATTTGGGTTGAATTTTTGCAGTGTTCTGTGTTACTGTAAATGCATTCCCTCTCTCTCTTTGTCTCAGGTACCTTAAAGAGAAGAGTATGATATGCCAGCACCTCCACAGTCGAACTGTTAAAAAGACAGAGACCACGGTTTGATGTGACTGGCCCATTGCGAACACCCCGCGCTCCGCCTTTGCCGAAGGGAAGGCAGCACTGTGCTGGGATGTGCCGTGGCTGAGGAGCACTGAAAGCACAGGGCTGTTCAGAGCGCTGAAGCTTCTCTTGATAATTACGTCACCAAAACCGAACCTGCTCCGCTGCTGCTCTGGAACACAAGTTGGGAACCACTAAGAAAATGCACTAAATCCCCCCAAAAGACAGATGCTGAATCTAGCTTGAAACTTCAGAGAGGGAAAAAATGCTGTGAAAAGCACAAGGCTTTAAAACCTACTGATGTCCAAACCGAAGTCTAGTATATAAGAAAAATATTGCAATAAGCAATAGGTTAATCATACAGAAAATATGAAAATTATGTACATGGTTTTCCTTGTATTAGAGAAGTGTTGAACTATATTAGGAGGAAGCTTTCCAGTAGAGGTAAGAGGCAAAAGGTATCTGAGATTGCAGTTAGGCTTTCCACTTCCCTTAAAATACAGCTGTGCGAGAGAGACCCAAAATCCCACTGCCTGCAGATCGGTAGGTGCCTAACTTGCTTCAGCTTGGAGCTACACTTTGAAAAATATAAACGGAAACCCTCCCACTTCCTAGATACTCAGCCCCTAAATGTAAGAGGGATTTTATCTCTGCAGTGTTTCTTGAGCTGCAAAGTAAGAACTCTCACTAAATACTGTTGCATCTGCTCGATGGGGCCCTGGAAGGCACCTTGGCGGTTTTTTTGTTGTTATTGAAACAGATGGTTCCATGTTGCTTCCCGTGTTTAATATTTGAAGGTGGAAATGAGAAGTGTTGAGTGAGAGGCTGAACATCACAGCCGTGACGGGGTCAGGGTGGCCTCCTTCCCACAGATGAAGTGTTTGGACAGCACAGTGTGCAGGAGCCAGCTATCGAGTCCTGTCTGGTCGAGTCATGCTGAATAGTAAAGCTCAAATTGTAGAGATGTAAATAAAATCCGATTTGTGCACAATGAATTGCCCTCCTCTATTAGTCTGTCCCTTCTACACAGTATCTGTGGTTTGCCTGAGCTACCTTGGGCTTATGCAGATACCAAGGGAAATGCTGAGAGGGACGGAATCAATGTGCAGAAAATGTTGCCTAGAAATCATATGGAATAAATCAAATGTGAAAAACTTTATGCTGCTTGAGATGACGTTACTTGGATGGCAATTTAAAAAAGAAAAGTCAGTGTGCTAACGGAAGCTATTGTGCTTGGGGCAAGGGGCCCGATTTAATGTGCCATCTATTGTCAGCCTGTCCAGGAAAATAATTCAGGGCAGGGGAGCACAGAGGGGAGAGAGAAAAATAATTCAGCAGTCAAGATGCATGCTGTTAAGTAACGGTTGCCTTAGAGGTGCAGGTGTAAGTCCCTTGAAGCAACTGAAGTGTGCACACAAGCATCACTGAATTTCCTTGGGGACCCATTCAAATACCTGCTTTGGGAGGCAGGAAACTTGCCCCGAGACGTCTCTGGTTATACCTGCAAGGTAAGGGCAAATTTCCATGAAGTCTGAAGCAGCCCACAGTCAGATTCCTCCCCAAGCCCCGGCAGAGCCGGTGGTTACGGCAGTGGCGTGTGTGTTTGTCACCCCCCTGCAGCAGGTACGTTTCAAGCACCGGCTGTGGCTCTGTTGAAGCGATGTGGAAAGGGGGCTCCAGTCGGAAGAGGAACAGAGCGTTTGTCTGGAGTTCTGGCTTTGCTCTGCTTCAGCCACGACAAGGAACAAATCAGAACCGCTTTGCAAAGCACCATTTCAAGCAGTTCTCCAAATCCCAGTGTATGTACACAATTCCTAAACTGTGCCGTTTTTGCCATCATCTGATGTTAAATACTTGAATCCTTTTTATTTCACTTGTCCTGCTGAAAAGATGCTGAAAAAACATCTGCGGAACATAGCACTGATTATCTATTGTCTGCTGGGCTTTAAGCGCTAGTGGAACAAAGCTGCGACTTTGCTGCAATGTTAGTTCTTTGGTCATTTATATGAATAGTTTCTGGCAAATACAGACAAGAAGAGGAGAAGAATTTATTCCAGAGCATTATTGGATATTCCAGGTAACACAGCAATGAAAAACAGAGGTGACAGAGAAAATGCGGGTTGCTTTTGAATTTGAAGCCTAAGACATTAACCATAAAGACAGCAATTAGAGTATAAATCTTACCTGATTTTGTACTACCAAGCTACCCCATGAAAAAAAAATCCTAAATCATCACTGGATTTTTTTTTTTTTTAAAGAAAGAAAAAAAAAAAAGCTGAAAACCCAAACCATCCCCCAAATTCCAGAATACTGATCCTTACGAGAGGTGAGGAAAATGAACCCATGGTGTGCGTGTTGCATGGCTCGTTCTTCTGGTTTATCTGTTATTTTTCTGCTTATACCCCTAGTGTGCAAGCACGGCGTTAGACTTCAGTTAGCAACTTGCCATTGGTGACTCTTAGCTTATGATTTGTTGTAACTGTGTTGTTATCCATGCAACTCCTCAACGAGTGGTTTTCCTGTAGTGAAACTGTGCAGCTGCGTAATCGTACCTATGTCAAACTGGTCCTCATAGAACGAGACAGGTTTGATACTTGGGTATCTCTTCCATCGAGGCAAAGATTTCCAGAAATTTTTTTTCTTTTAATACTGTTTTTGTTATTTGATTTATAACATACCTTCTGATATATTTTTATGTGAAAGTAAAAACCCAACTGCTGTTTGTATGTCAGGCCCCCTTGAGTGTAAATGTAGCAGCCTTCCAGTGCTTTCTCCAAACACTCATCTGCTGAGCAAGGATTTTGGCATTTCATCCCTGTCCTTTCCGTGACATTTTGCTCATCTTAATTCTTCCTTGCCCTCTTCAGCTTGCCCGAGAGAATCTTTTTCTCTCGAAGGCAACTTTACAACTCCCCTAGAGCAGCCTGTGTTAGTGAGTGAATGTGTTCTATGTCAATGACAGTGCTATAAAAATGCAAAAATAATTACTTGGTGATTGAAAAATAATTTAGAAGTCATTACAGGGAGAATTTTTAAAATTTTATCTCATTTGCATTTATGCTTTATAGGCCTAAGATTGAAAATGCTTTCCTTTGCCTGTTACTGTTTGGTGTCAGTAAAATAGTATTCCATAACTTAAGATGTTGGCCACATCTAAACCCTCAATTTCTATTTATTTAACTTATTCTTTCGGTAGGTTTCTCCCAAGCGATGTACTCTCTCTCTCTGGACTTAAACTGGGTTTGCGTTGCTTGTTTTAGTTTCAATTTTACATATCCTTGATCATTTTGAATCAAAGCAATAGGAGCCAGATATGAAGGTTGTGTATGGGTTTCTTCCCCACCTGAATAAAACCAATACACATGTTTGATATTTGGGTAAGCTGAGCTCTGTGGGCAGACCAGTCCTACAGTTCCACATCCCAGCAGATTCTTTGCGGGAATTTGATGGTTTATTCTGAGGCACCTCTTTTATCTTATTCACAGCGGCAGAACTATAGCTGTCGTAAAATGTCGTGACTTCATTAGTTCTGTGAGTGAAGAGCCACGACATAGATTTCTCCACTAAGACAAATCATACGTTCCCATTTCTACTTCATGAATGTTTAGAAAAGATATGCTCACTGTTAAGTGTGTGTGACTTCGTATCATTCAGCAAACGTTTTCCAAGGCGCTGTGCAAGTTTTTATTCTGTCAACATTTTTTCACTTCTTTTGATAAGTTCTGGACCCTGAAAAAAAGCAAAACATAATGAGTGAGAGAAATCAGGACGACGCTGTACTTGTGAACAACTTACCAGGGTATGGCAGCAGTAAGTCATGTTTTATAGTCTTTGCAAGCTGTGTACAGACACTGTACACTCAAAGTGCATATGCATAAATCACTCTGTTTAAGGTACATTTTGCTTTTACTTTTCAGCTCAGATGGCCTTAGAAGATTTGGTGTTTGTCAGAAAAGTGCTGAAGTACAATTCTGTTAGGAAGAGTTAGTAGAACGGTTCTGTGCAGTTGCGCTGTTTGGGGGGGGATTCAGAGGTGGAAATTTCCTCTTAATAAAGGAGAGAAATTTCTGTGTTTTGTCATATAGAGCAAAGCAGGCAAAGACTGGGGAAAAGACAGCAAGGTTCAAAGGTCGTGAATGGTTTGTTAAAGTTCAGTAAGGAATATATCAGAGATGAGAGAAGTAGGCGAAAGCAGATTCACCGGAGGGTAAAGAGGAGCCAAAGTAGCTCTGCAGTATGAAGTTCAGTGAGACAAAATAAGATAGGAAAGAAAAGAAGCAAACAGAGGTGGGGGAAATCGATAGGGAAAATTATTTGACCTACAATTTGGAACTTCCTTTTTCTCCTTAGTGCAGAGGAACTTTTAAAGAGAAACTGGGTTAAGAACTGTTAGCCAGGGAAAGACCTTTGCTCATATCCTTCAACAGGGCAAGGCCCGGTGACTACCTGGAAGCAACAGATGTAACTGAGCTCTGTATCTGTAAGTTGCTGCATTAAACACAAGACTAATTAGATAAGTTCGCTAGTGATTGTTCCACTGGTACACACATCTACCTGCGCAGGAAATAATGTTTGTCTTTGGAAACACAGCTGCAGGAATTCTGGCTGGCTGTGCTTTGCTGCTGTGCCTTAATGGGGCGCTTTTGTGTATGCTCCGTATTTCTGTTTTGATTCAGAATGCCTAGGTGAAAGCAGACACAATACCTCTCTCACGAAACACGCCTCGCGGTTTTCCTCATTGCAGCACTGTTCCCTCATGGCAGTGAAGGCTGCCGTGACAGAGGCCAGCTGTTCCTGTGTGATCAGGGGCTTGTACTTGATGAGGTTGATGAGCATTCTGCAGGGAAAGCAAAGCAAGCCCTGTGAGGTGAGGACACAGCTCACAAAGCACTTCTCTAGCGCCAGCCCTGCAAACTCCCTGTTTTGTTCCTGCGCCCTTCCCCTCTGCAGCTTCTTCATTTTTATTCACCACCCAGTTATCTCTTTGCAGCAGAGAGCAAAGATGGGCCCCGCTCCCCTGTGAAATAAAATAACAACCCTTGTTTTTTTTTTTTTTTTAATTGCCCCACCACGAATAAACCACGCAGATGGTTTGAGTGATGCACCACTCCGGAGGGTCCCGGACAGCATGGGCTCCCCAGAGCACCAGCTGAGGGCCAAGGAGGTCTGGTTCTAACTGCAGGGACTGGGGGGCAGGCCCAGCACCCGAGCTTTCTCTGACCAAGGCAACCAAACACCAGAGCTTCTCAGAGAGTAAAGAAGAGCAGCTTGGAAGAGGGGCTGAGGGGGGTCTGGCTGCTTTTCCATGGCATATTGCAGAACAAGAAGGCCAGACAGAGCGAAGGAGGGAAAGGTGAGCAGTGCCGGGATAGGAATAAGAAACAGAGGGGTGACCATAAAACAGGTATGTCTTACTCCTGCTTCTTGTGCTGTAACTTGTCCTCTTCAGTCGTACACAAGTCTTCGTGGAAAGTGAACAGACCAGGAGTCAATGATAAGGGCACATAATTCTCATCAATTTCTAGTTTGCCTATGCATGGCCTCCGAAGAGCGTAGGAGCTGCTACAGCAGTGGCAGACGCCTGGGTTTATGGGGTTGGCCAGGTGTCTTCTGCATATTTCTCCAAGCACGAGATCCAGCTTTACCAAAAGAGGTGAAAAAAACAGTTTTACATTGTTGTTTCATTTTCAAAAATCCCTGTTACACGTGCTGCTCTTAGTAACGTTATAAAAAATAACTGAGAAATTAAACCTTGTATGTAAGGTAGATAACAGTTGATTTTTCTACTGAATGCTGGCTGTTGTCAGTGCAAAAATGGCTCAGATTTTTCAGAATAAATACATATATGCAGTTTTAGGGACTATCATTTGCACATAAAAATGATGTGATTTCTTCATAAAACCACGCTTGCACTTGATTTGTTTTCACCAGCAGGGTTTCTGTGGTATGTTTGGCTGTTCTTGTGGCTGTGGTGTTCTACAAATGGGTGCTGGAGGACGGGCTGAAGCTTTTTAAGTACTTTGGCTTATGGGCCTGGAGAATTCTTAGGGAAGAGCCATACAAAATCTTTTTCACAGAGCAGTACAGCTTCAGGCATCTAGAAAGGATGAACTCAACAAGAGCTGGTTAGTGTTGGAAGGAGCAGAGTCAGAGGGCCTGTGCTGCCTGGTAACTGCCCAGCACCAGCCTGACAAGTTCCTGTTCCCTCTGCAGTTTAATTCCAGCATTAACTGCCACGATGCTGAGTTGTGCTTGCTTCAGGCATGTGGCTGGAAGTACAGCTTCAGGGTCAGAACTTTTCTCATCCTTACTCCAAGCTCTTGGAATCTGCTGGCAGCAGAATTTGTGGCAGAGTTTCAAGAAGTAGGACCAAGCTAAGAATAAAAATACTCACGTTTTCCTCAGTGCAAGGCAGTAGCTTGTCCTGGCTTAACTGGCAGCATTTGGAGCCAATGGTAGTCATTTGCTTGGTGAATTTTATCAGCTCTGTAGATGTTAGCTGAGGCATCTTCTTGGTGAAGCTCATGAGAAGCCTGAAATGATAATTTCCTTGGTATTGGTGTTTTTGTTCCACCAGGCAGCAGTGAGCAAGCCGCTGCCTTTGCACGTGTAAAGCTCCAGACAAACCCCAGAGCACACTGTTAGTACAAGGACAGGACAAAGGCTGATGTTTACAAACTCAGACAAGTGGAAGCCTGCTCCAAAAAATCTTTCCCTTTTCTGACCAGTCTCTTACCAAGTTAAAATTAACTAGAACATTGCCAGTTATATGCTGGTGGGCCCTCCTACTAAATGGTATGTATGTTTTTTTCCTACGTTATTCATTTCCCTGGGAGTGTAGGGAGCTTGTCTAAGAGCAAACCAGAACATGGTCTTGGAAAAGATTAAAAAAAAAAAAAATCCTAGAAGCTGTTAATATATTAGTCCAAGCATTTGAGTGGTGTCTTTTAGCCTAGCTTTTTTGACATCTATGGCTTTATTACGCCCAGCTGGTACACAAGGAATGTAAGCATTTAAAAAAGTAATACTCGTTTTGGAAATAGTAATCTCCTTTCTCCTTGTAAATGTCACAGCTCGTCTTCATCACACTTTCAGTTTCATAAATATGCTTCTTCAGTTCTTCCTCCTGAAAAAGAAATTAATTTGAGGAGTCATTGTATTGGGGAATGCCAAGGGTCCTATTGCCTCACGGTAGGGCCTGCATGTCCGTAGCTGTCTGCCAGCTACCTGATGTGCACCACCCATTTTTAATTCCATTAGAAATCCTTCATCTGTCTGAAATGTCCAAACTGCCTGAATGTGACACATGTTCACCTTCAATCACCTTGAAATGTTTCGTTTTGTATAACCCATGGAAGGCTAGGTCTGAGACACAGGGCGGCTCCTCACTTCAGATATTTACAGCCCAACGTCTTTATCTGAGACAGTACCCATAAGCGCCTTTTACATTTGCTGTAGGGCAATCAGCACTGCTAGGGTGCCCTGAAGAGAGCAGGGCTCTCAGAAATGTTAGCTCTATCCCTTTGCCTGACATCTCTGTCTATCCATGTTAAATTGCTTCACAACTGAAGACTGCAAAGACTCTGAGCTGCAGGTGCCCACCCTGGAGCCGGAGTAGGGATGTTCCCTGTTTAGCCAGGACCAGTTGTGAGGTCCCGTGCTTGACTCCATCAGTGTGGTGTGTGAAGCGTGGTGACACCCACCCCTCTCCTGCAGCAGTCCTCTGGAGAACTGGTTTTGCAGCACTCTTTCAGTAGGTCCTCATATCCTTTACCAATTCTTAAAAGCATTTGCGCAGAAAATTCAGGGTGCCTCCTGGAATATTCATACAGAAACCTGCAATATGTGGAGTATCAGGAATTAGAGGTAAGCCAAAGCAACTGCCCTCAAGAGGGTGGGGATGGTGGGGATGGCGGGGATGGCAAGAGTGCTTTTGGGATGGTTTTGTCTGACTTCTCCTGGAACAGGGAGAATTTCGGTGATGGCAAGAGTGCTTTTGGGATGGTTTCGTCTGACTTCTCCTGGAACAGGGAGAATTTCACAGCTTCTCAGCCCAGGCCTGAACCTGAACCAAGCGTGGCTGACGGAGCAAAGCATTGCCTGAGCAAGTCCTGTGCATGTAACAGTCCCAGCATAGTGTTAGCTTGGGTCAGGCACAGCTTGGAGCTCTGTGGGGCCTGCGGTTTGACTCGTTTTTAATCCTACCTGAATGGTAACTAGCTCCCAGTAACAGACCCATTTTTCGGCAGACACTGAAAAGATAGTTCTACTGAAGCAGTCACCCGCCACAGCAGTCGTGCCCAGTTGATGAGCTGCATTTTTCATAAAAGGAAGTGATGGGTGTTATTTGAAGTAAGTGGATTCTCTGTCTTTGGGACTCCCTGCTGTTTCTGTTGCAGCCTGTGGCATTTTTGACAAAGTTTACTACAGGTAGGATCAGGGGTTCATTGCACAGAAGAACATGGCTAGAACAAAACCAGACCCATCCTGTTTGAATCAAGATGTGAGGCTGACTAAAAGAAGTGTGTTTGAATTTCCACTCTAGAGCAGATCAAAGCTACATTTTGGGCCTGAGATCAGAACTGATAGCACCTAAATTTCACATGCGTTTCTTTAGTTTTGTCTCTGAAATAACAATTGTGCCCTGGTTCTGCGTTTGTTCCCTTTCCATACCTTCGAGGGTTGAGTGGTGTTTTACTAAGATCGACTCGCACAGTATCTCGTGCTTACATGCTCACAGAGCAGATGAATCTGAGGCTTTGATGTCCAAACTTTAACAACCCAAGTAGTGAAACAGCAACATTGAAGAGTAGAGGAAGACCCACGATACCTGGCTAAGTGTGTGTCTTTTTCCTGGGCAAAACGTTCACATATTCCTTTGTCTTCTATAAACTCCTTGATGTGGGGGGACAAGTCTGCAGGTTTGTCGTCATTTTCTGCATTAACTATGCATTCACTTCTCTGTAACAGGGGCTTTTCACAGCACTTCTTAATTTTACTTGATAAGATGTCTTGGTTGGTGCAGACGTAGTGTAGAATCTCTTCCTGTAACACGAAACAAAAAAAAAGGAAGGAAGGAAATTTAACCAGATTTTGGTCTTTTTTTGTTTTTGAATCAGTGTTTTTGTCTCCACGATACAGACAGAGGGAGATGACTCCCAGAGAGAAGAGGTGGCTGGCTAAAGCTGTGCAACACTCATCTGGCAGAGCAAAGAGGAAGACTAACGTCCCGTTGATCTGTTTGCTGCAGACCCTTGCTCATCATTTGACAGGTGCTAGGTGACCACCTAACCCGAGAAGTTACCTGTCTAGCTAGACGCCACAGACAAGCAGTGAGATAAATGGATTTGGTATGTTAGAAGAAGGTAGAGAATGGAGGACAGGTAGATATTGTGTTTTACCAAAAGTTGCACAGAAAATGCATGGCACAGCTAGCAGCTGCAGCCAGATCTGTTGAAGCAGTGTTAGGCCAATTTAGTCACAAAGGAAGAAAAGCAAAATTCTCAAAACATGAAAAAATGCATGCAATTTCTGCAAACATGTAAATATTAAATGAGTTTTACCCTGTCATGCATACAGTCCAGCATATCTCCATGACAGCAGTCCTTGTGCATGTTAGCAATATCAGTCACAAGTTTGTTAACGGTAACAAAATCAGCTTTAGGGAATTTTTGGCTTATCTGAGCAAGTTTCCTACAATGAAGAAAAATAGGTGTTGCTTACATTCACGCTGTGACACTATGGTAGCCACCATCATTTTTCTGGGGGGCAGGGAGGTATCCAAAGTGCTCACGAATGGTTTCTCCCTGCTCCCACTGAAGTTAATAAATAAATGTCCCTTGAAGCCAATAGCTGAATTTTTCAGAGTTATCTAAGGATCCTAGGTAAATGTCCATGTGAGATGATGGAAAGGAATGTGGTAGGAGAACGTGAAATTACAGGAGCAACCTTATGTCAAAAAGGGTTAGGGAAGTATTCAAAGGAACAACCCCGAATGACCTTTACATCTCAGCACTGTGTGGCTCTTTTGCAGCCAAAGCAAACAAAATGAAGCCGCCTTTGATAAATGTGGGGAAGACTTACAGAGCCTTTAAGGTCCTTTCTCCAAACTTTTTCAAGATTCCACATGTGTGTTCCTGCCTCAGGCCGTCTTCTTTTACTGGCTTCACCACCTTGGGTGCCTGGGTGGGAAGAAGATGCAAACCATGAAAGTGGAGGAAAAGGCAACACCTTCTGGTAAAACTACTGCGGGGACTTTTTTTAAGCAGGAATTTTTCCACAGTGAAAAAAATTGCTGTCCAGGCTGCAATAGGAACTAGCTGTTGTGCTTGCTAGTCCGTCACCAGCATTTATTAAGTCAGTGTTCTGCAAAAAGAAACCAGCACCCTTTTAGACAATAGCTTTAAGCATAGGGGAAGAAATCATCCTCTGGGAGCCACATGACTTTGCATTACTATAAGCTCATGTTAAACTATGCTGTCACTGTTCAGCATGTTCAGCAAGAACAGGTTCCCACTGCTGCTTGTTTTCCACCATTACAGGCAGTTTGCTTTGAATTCTGACACTGGTTACATGTGGGGCATGTCTCTGCAGTGCAGGCACTCAGCGGAGCAGGAGCTGGGGCTATCAACAGGAAAAAAAAAATAAAAACAGGTTTCTGCACCATGCATAGCCCATGTCCTCTCTTAGCATCCTTACAGCAAACCCTGTGCCGGCAGCAGGGGCGGGCTAGGCAATGATGCTGTTGCAGGGTGTGGGGACTGCCTTGGGCTCCCTGTAAAGCTACACCTGCCCAACACCCCCAGGTCAGCCATGCCCATTTAGGAGTTCAGGCTCTAATTCAAGAAGTCTGATTTCAGCCTGTCCTTAACAAGGTGAATTCTAATATCAGGTTGAGACGGTGAAGAAGAAATGGCTGATACTGCTGCTTCAGGATGTGTCTAGCTATAGGAAGCTCCCTGGTTGCACATTATTAAACTAAAACCCTGCAGTGGAATACCTGTCTCTGAAAGCATTCCTCCAAGTTATGGGTGGGGTCTTCAGCACTTCCGCAGCAGTTCTTCATCATCTCATCATAACGGATAGCGACAGAAAGGATTGTTGGGGCATAGAGAAAAGGATGCCTTCTGGATACCTCATAAATAAAACTAAAAGCAAGAGAGAGATGGTTTGGGTTTTGGAGTAAACCCTTACATGCAGAGGGCAGCAGTGCACAGCAACTGCCACTACATTAAAACGACAGCTACTAAAAGCGATTGTTTTCTTGTTATAACGACAAGCAGTGTAGTGCAGTATTTGTCTTGGGAAAGTTCTGATGGGGCTGAAATTTTCCTGGAAACTTGAAGTCTCAAATCCTGACAGTTCTGGCTTGGAGGCAGCAAAACATCTGCTTGGCTTCTAAGGACTAGAGGGAGGCCCTTGGGTTCAGCTGAGTCCTTTACATGGACTACAATGAAATGGGCTAGATGGTTTGTCATTTGGACCTAGAGCCAAAGCAGGAGGTGGCAGAACAGGCATCTCATAATGACAATTGCAGCTAGATGAATTACGCAACTAATTCACATTAGGAAGAAAAATTAGTATGAGATTATGGAGAATCTGATACTGAAGTTTTTGATTGATACTGCATTTGCTGTCCCTAGGCTCATACCTGTCATATCTAGGTGACAAATCTATGATTTATTTACTTACTATCCTGTTAACGAATGTTGATGCTGTGAATGGTTTCTGCAGGCAGCTTCAGCATTTGGCCTTTCAAAAGGAGAACTGAACCCTCTTGATGAATTTTTAAGGGAGAGGAAGCAGTCATTTCGTTCAGGATCCTTTTTAGCACAGCAGTCATGAAACCTGGGAAGATTTTCCTCCTGGCATATTGTATCGAGGAAAATCCTGTCCTGTGAAAAATCAGAAAAAAGTTAATTGGAGTGAGGATTCCATTGTGTTCCTGTGAGCTCTGCGAGGAGGCTGCTTGAAGCCAACAAGCCCTGACTTGCATAAGCTCACAGTTTCTGTCTTTATTACCTCCTGTTTTGACTGCAGTGAATATCAGACTGACCTCTAAAACCTATACATGATGATTTCTCAAACTCTGATATCTACTCTTATGCCAACACAGGCTTCGAAGTGGAATAATTTTCAAACACTCTGAACTTATAACCATTTCCAGACCCTTTTTTTTCATGATAACAATCAAGATGATTGCTTGATTTATATGCTGCAGTTTATGGCAATGAAAAGTGTCTTGCTTCTTGTGAATCAAGTAGCAGTGCTTATGTTCGGCTGCCCATCATGCCTCAGCTGGGAACCGTTTTAATTCAGGGTTTGTTTCAGTGTGTTTAACAAATCAGAACTGAGTTGTAACAGACTGATACTCATGTTTCCTGATTCCACCTGCCAGCTCCAAAAGTGTGTTGGAGCAGACACTGTCAAAAACCAGGAATGTTAGTTAAGGGAGTGGAACAAATGCCTATAAACATCATATTTACTAGAAATATCTAATTTGTCTTCTCTTGAATTTTATTACGCCAGCCACAAAAGCACAACTTTCTTAATATTTTTCAGAAAGATACAAGTCAAGGATTCCAAAAGATGCTGGGGTATTTGGGGTGGAAAGGGGCTTTGTTTTCTTCCACTTATCTTGAGATGCTTTATAGATGAGAGCCTGGAGAACAGAAGAGTCAGTAAGGCCCAGCATGCATACACAAGGAAGTCAAGTCTCTTAATAATGTATTAGTTTCTCTTTGGAAAAATGCATATTAGGGCTCTGAAAATACCAGTCGCTTCTGAAAAGCTTTGCCACACTAGGAGCATAAACAGGCTTACCAAAGGCTTCAGGCAATCCGGGTTGTCTCTGTCTGCAGCAGCACACCTTCTGGCAAGGTCTGTGACATCTTCAGCCATTTGAACTGCTTTGCCAAACGTGCCTCCTTGCACATACTGAGCAAACATGATCAGGGCACTACAAGAAGACGACACAGCATTAAACCTGTGGCTGGCTACCTGAAAACTAGTATGATAATTTTCATGTGTGACACAGTAAGAGGATGCAGGTCACCCCAGGCTGAGTTGGCACGGGCTGGCAGAATGAGTGTGTGTTTGACTCACGGTGCATGTTCATTTCCAAATGACATAACACCACAGGGAAGTTCAGTGCCAGCAAATTTGCAAATAGACACTTTACCTGGGCAACTTACATGGCTTTAAAATTATTCTCTTGAAGCTGAGAAAAACGTTGGCCAATGCTGTTTCTTCTTTCTGAAAAACAAGATAATTCAAATAAAAAATGTTTAGTAAATACTTCATCAATTGCCATGTTTTTTTGGTACTGGAGTCTTGGAGAAAGATAACTCAGTGCCTAGGGCACTGGGGGTAGGAAGGCATGAGATTGACCTCCCTGTTTGACTTGAGCATGAGGATGGAAAACTATTTGTTTCAGACCTACAGGGCCAATATGATTTCCTTGCCTAGCTCAAATGTTGTGAGGAGGAATACACTAAAACCTGAGGGGTGTTCAGTTGCTTCGATGATGCATCTCACATGATTAAACAAGCACCATACGAAACACTTTTTAACCTTGTCTTAGTTATCTCTTTTGTTACTTTTCTGGCGCCCTTCCTCGTGGACTACAGAGGGAGGCTGGAACAACCACAGTCTTTACTTCAGCGGTTTTTGTAGTACCTGAAAATCAGTGGCATAAACACATCCCTGTGGATTAACTTGCCCTTCTGTGCATTTCCTTGCAGTAATCACTGGCTGTCCCACACACTACATACATTCTCAAGCCGTTAATAAGCAATGCATCTAAAGCTGATCACAAAAAAAGATTATACAGCTACAATTTCGTTGTGTACTTTTGACCCGTAACAAAATACCTGTGTATGGCAAAGTGAGATACTAAATAACCGTGCATACTAAGTTGCAGCTATCAATACTATAGGAAAGAATAGAGTAAAAATATGAGATATATTCTTACCTATTTCCTGATAACTTCTAGGCAGGGCTTTGACTACAGTAAGGCTCACCAATAAAATAACATAAATTATTGTTCTCCGCTTCATACTTTCAGATTTTGGCAGGGCCCTGAGGTGGGCTTGGTTCACCTGTGAAACGCAGAAAGAATTAAGGGGAAAAAGTTGCTTTTATACTCTCCCAAACAGTTTCTGGTTAATCAAAACCCTTTTACTGTCATGTATAACATTAGCCCTTTTGGAATATTCCCACAATAATTAAACATGCCATTATTTGCTCGGTATGATGAACTGACCAGCTTATTGCAAAGAAAGGACCTTGTAGATTCTTTTTTTTCCCCCCTGGAATCTAGGCAAATAGACATTTTTAACTTATCCTACTTCAAACAAGAACTTTAAACACTGCCTGGGCTTTTTATCATGCATACTGATCTCATCTCCTTACAAGCTTGTTCAAAGGTGATTGCTGCTTAGAAGATGCCTTCGTCACACATTGACTGAAAAATCCCAAGTTCACCTGTTAAGCTGATATTTTTGCGTCCCTCTTTGCTGAACAAGCTGTCTCTTGCTTCCAGCTTCCATGGTGTCACGGTGAAAAAGCTGAATTAACTACTCCCTACAATATATTTGCAGCATTAACAATTAACATCAAGATATCTCAGAATCTTGAAACAAAATCAACTCCAAAACTGTAGAATGAAGGGAAAAATTCCCATTAATACTGTTATTTTAAAGACTTTTTTAAAAGTATGTTATAAGCATCAACATGATAAAAATGTCAAATTATTGGCGATATGATGGCCTTAGAGAGCCATGGGTATTTGTAACAAAGAGATAGATGGGTAAGGGTACCTGTATTCAGTCTGGATAAAGAGGCAAAGACAGAGCTTTTTATTTCTTTAGTGATAAAATTGCCATAATCCTTGTTCCACGCTACAGGAAGATGATGAGGATTGTTCGTTATCGCATAAGATGGTATTGAAAGGAAAAAGGATTCTGAGTGGGAAGATGGGAGTGTGGTCATCAGAGCAGGATATCTGACATCTAAGGTCCAACCACATCTGTTGAGGAAGACACAAACAAGCTGTCACAAATAAAAAGCCCTATAGGAAACAGAGAAACCTACTTGAAAGAAAGAAGCATCTGGTCTGGAGATTATTGAGTGTATTTCTACATGCACGATCCTCATTAAGTCCATAGGAGCAGATCATGGAAAGCTTTTCTCATCCAGCTGTTTCCAAAAAGCCAGTTCCCCTATGCTCTTGGGAGTCAGCACTGCTAGCTGCAGATTCCTCCCTCCACCCCCTAGGCTCAGCGTCATCCCATGGCGAGGCTGCCAGAGCAGAGTCCCCGCGAGGGCAATCTGGGGACCAGCTAGT